CCCCAGCCCGAGGCCTGGCGCAGAGCAGCGGGAGGCGGCGCAGGCCGCGGCGGGGCCTGCAGCGGCCCGCCGACCCCGCGAGGCGGCCGAGCGGGCCCCGGAGCGGCGCGGTCTCGGGCTGGGCGGCCGGGGACGGCCGGCGGTGGCCCCTCGGCGACTTACCGGGAAGAAAAAGAGCCGGGATCCCGGGGCGCCGGGCCGGACCGCGGAGATGCCCCAAACTGACACGGCCGCCATCTTGGAGACAGTGAGCTCCGGCCGGGGGGAGGGGCGGCAAGGCGGCGGAACAGCCGCGGGGGGAGGGGAAGCGTCGCGAGGGAACGGCTGCCTGGGGGAGGGAGCGGGAACAGCCCGGGCGGGAGGCGAGGGGGAGGAGGAGGAAGGGGAGCAAAGGAGGGGGGCGGCCGAGGAGCGGGAAGAGCTGGGCCGAGAGCCGGGAAAGGCCGGAGGGCGGGGCGGGGCAGGAGAGAAGAGCCGACCGCCGGGTCACGTGGGCCGGTACAAAAGGCCAAAGCCAAAGGGGGAGGAGGACTTGGTGCGGCTAGAGGCGGCCGGCGGGGTTCCCGCTGTCCTTTCTCACGCGCTGGGGTCTGGCAGCTACCGGGGAGCGAAGGGGGCGGTGTGCCCCTACTCCACAGCTGGGGAAACTGAGGGCGGGCGCGAGAGTTGGGTGGCTTCAGTATGGCACGGAAGTGCGGCACCAGGCGGTGCGTACTCGGGGGCGTCTGTGTCTGCCGTCGGCAAATCCCCTCCCAGCGAATCTGCCGTCGCCCCTCCCTGCGGCCGAGAGCCTGGGGGCGGCGGCGGCGACGCCGCTCCCCTCACCTCTCGCCGCGGCTCCCGGCGGCCTCTCGCCGGCGGGAGGAGCAGGTGCGAGGCGCGGAGAGGGTGCAAATTTAGACGCCCTTCTGACGCGCGCCCACTGCGGTGACTCCGGCCCTCATTCCCACACGGCCGGCAGAGCGGCCCGAGACCTGCCCGTGGCCCCGTCTGTGGGAAACAGCAGCGCACGGCTGTGTGGCGCGCACTGGCCGCGCTGCCGTCCGGGGCGCACGTTCGGAGCCTGGACGGTCTCGGCCGCAGCCAGTCTTGTCGCCACGCCCCGGGCGGAATTGCGCCCGTGTTTACGGCCGAACCGCGGACAGGCACTTTTCCACGGCCTGTCTGTCCTCTGCTGCTGCACATGTGTTTCTTTGTCTTGTCTTTCATCCACTTTAAACTCTTCGGTGCAGAGCTTCAGTCAGACTTTTGTTTTTTTCTGCATTCAGTGGAAAGGCAGTAAATGACAGAAGACATGCTAAATGCTTAATAAATGTACTTGGAGATGTATCCCTACTACCTTTCCTTTATCTGCCTTGTGCCTAAACTGTCCTCCCCAAAACCTCAGCACCTTGTCACTCACTGCCTTAACTTCCATGTTTACTTCCTTTTCTAAACTTCTGTAGTAGTGATCATTTGCTCTATTCATTTTGCACTTAATGTGTGGGCTTTATATATATTTTATGAATATATTCCCAGATAAATGCTCTTCTGTGATGCCTCTTTGCATCTCCAGTGGCAGCATGGTGTTGTGCTGCTACTGTAGTAGGGTCTCTAAAAAAATGATGCTAGCGAATGAACATTTTTATGCCCCTAAGAGAGACTGGGCCATGTCATGCCCTGTCTTGTCACACCTCTGCCCGTCGTTTCCTAACTCTGTGTTTCTTCTCTATTCTAATCCTTAGCATTATCATTCTGTACCACAGATTGTCTAGACCATTCAACAATAACAACATAAAACTTTTATTTTCAGATGATGGTCCAGCCAACTCAATATCCTGACACTGACATTGATAACATAAATGTGGTATGGTGAGGTTTACTGAATAACCCTTTATTACCACTTTCCAAGCTTCATCTCCAAATTAGTAGAGAAAATTTGGGGATACAAAATAATCTGCTAGAAAGGATGTCTTCCATCCTAGGTGAATCAGACAGATGCATTCTCAGATAAAATGGGCCCTTTTTGTAATGAAAACACATCCAGAAAAAATAAAAAGGGCAAATTCTCTTTTAGGAGAATAGGCAAGGTTTTTATTTCCCAAAGAGGACAGATAAAGTCATGCTAATAAAATGAGTTCTTCATGTGAGACTAGAGTGTGTCCTCTTCAGAAGAAAAATGATGCAGACCTGAGTTGTGTTTGCTTTTGGGTAATTTGGAGGAAAACTGGTCACAGCCCTCCCTGTGAAAAGACCAAACTGGAAATAAAGCGTACAGTAGCAAGAATTTAAAACGATTTACAACAACAAAGCACAGTTGAGCTTTTCGAACAGCTTCCAGAAAGTCTCTGCTTTACAATTGCATAACTAAATGGCACATTCAGGAGGTCTTCTTAAAATAAAAATTTTGCAACAAAGATTAAAGTTCTCATCATTTGCAAGTTAAGGAAAGGACAGTTTTTCTTAGCTCAACCTTTACTCGGAATTCAGCTCTGTTAGGCTGGCAGCTAAAGGTTACTTCTCTCTTTCTTATTTTGCTCTAGGAATCCCCTGCCGTTTCAGTTGTACTTGGTAACTATGTTTTATACAGAGTCCAGGTCAGCCTAAAATTGGAAGATTACTGTGTCCTGGTTTCAACAAGAAAAGTTTTTTTGTCCATTTACATTTAATGTAATTACTGGTATATTTGGATTTATGCCTACCATCTTACAGTTTATTTTCCTGTGGCTCCCTTATTCTTATCTCTTGTTCTCTTCTTTCTTTTGAATTAATTAAAATATTTTAATTATACCATTAACCCCCTCTATTAAATTAATTATACATTCTCTTGCTAGTTTTAGAGATTACAACATTCCTTTTTGAATTGTTACCCTCTAATATCAGTAGTAGTATAAGTAGCATATTACTTATACTACTTCCTCAGGAATGCTGTGCCATTAGAATACTGTACTTTGCCTACACTTACCCCTCCCCCTTTAGTTTTTATTGTTGTCATGGATTTTAATTGTAGATATATTTTAAGCCATACAAGATTTTATAATTATTGTTCTGTATAACTGATACTCATTTACCTACATATTTACCCTTTATATTGCTCTTCATTCCATTATGCGTTTCTGTGCCCCTGACTGAATTTTTTTCCTCCGTTTGAATAATTCCTCTGCTTTGCAACAGATCTGCTGGTGATGAGTTCTCTCCAAAGTTGTTCGAGGTGTTTTCTTGTTTTGGTTTTTGGTTTTTTTCACCTAAAAACTGATACTGACATTATTATCCTTTATATTTTTGCTAGGCATAGCATTCTAGTATGGCACTGTTTTTCAGCACTTTAAAGACATTCTTCCATTATTTTCTGGTTTCTATCATTCACCTTTACTTTTTTAAAAGTAATGTCTCTTTTCTCTGACTCATTTTAGGAATTTTTGTCTCTGGTTTTCAACAGTTTTTCTATGATGTGTCTAGATGTGCTTTTCTTTGTTTTCATTTCACTTGAGTTCATGAGTGGAGTGGGTGCTGATCATGGAATTCTTTGAATTTGTGGCTTGTTATCTTTTAGGAAATCATCTCTTCTAGTCTCTTTTTTCCTTTTAGGATTTTAATTACACAATGTCAGAATTTTTCGTTGTTTACCATCTCTATTTCCTATCATCTTTTTCTCACTTTGTGCATGAGTCTGTATGTTTCCTATCCAACTGCCTGCTTTTAAACCCGTTTATAAGTTCTTAATTTTGGCCATTGTATTTTTAAGTTCTAGAATTTTCATGGGATTTTTAAAATAAACTCGGATTTACTTGGAGAAATTTTCCATCTGTTTATATATTTTCCCCACCTTCGCCTATATTTTCTTGAACATATCAATCCTAGCTGTTTTAATGTTCTTTCTGATTATTACAATAGCTGGATCTTCTGTGGGTCTATTTCTGTTGTATATTCTTTCCATTGGTTTGGGTCATCTTTTTTTTTCTTTGCTCTTGGCTAGGCTGGTAATTTTTTTTTTCCTTCTCTCTTAAGCCATGTGAATCTCCTGGTAATTTTAAAAAGAATGCCACACATTAAGTATGAAAAATTATAGAGGCTCTGGATAGTATTATCTTCAGTGAAGACACACACTGTCTTTTGCAAAGCAGGTGGTGTGAGGGCTAATCACCTTAATTAATCAGAGACTGAGCTACCTCAAGGTTGGATTTTGGCAAGGCTTTGTTAACCTCTTTGTTGCTGCTGCTACTGTAGTATAACCCTCGAGGGTTCCAACTGAGAATGTTGTTGTTCCCTGGGACAATTTTATCCCAGTGGATGCTGAACTCTAATTCTTATTTCCTCAGAACCATGAGACTATCAAAAACTACTTTTCAAAGGCTTTCTGCTTAGCTTCTTAGTCTTCTGCTTCATGCCTCTTCAGAATTTGTCAAATGATCTGAGGGAAACTGACAGGGTATTGGGCTCCGTTACTCACTTCTCCCTTCTCACAGGAATCCAGTCCCTCTTGTCATTAAGTTTTGTCTCTCCAAACCTGCCAACCCCACAAAATCATCCCTTGTGGTGTCTTTGTCTTTTTGGGCCTCTTTCCGTGCTCACGATCAAAGCTCAGACTCTGCCTTATGCCCCAGATCTCTCCAAGGGACAAAGGTACTGCTGAATGTCAGCTCAGCTTGAAGCATAGCACCCCTTCCCTGAGACTGTGTGCTCATAAGTCCTGGTGGCTGCAGCAGCTCTCTGATACCTTCAAACATGTTTTATATTTTAAACGTTCTCCTCATTGTTTTCAGCTGGATCATTGGTTGGCTGTAAGGACCCTATCATACTGAAAACCAGGAAAAATTTTGAAAATGAACTGGACTTCCTTCTTAAGTGGAAAATGTCTTAACAAGGCTCTGACTGAGGTATCAAGATGCCTCAACACTGCAGCACTTTTTAGTAAGTAAAGAGTTTAGGGTTCCACACCACACCTGCTGAATCTGAATGAAAGTGAAATGAATCTGACGCTGTATTTTTAAAATCTCTCCAGGTAAGAACATCTACTTTGACCATGATTGAGTAATGGGGACTGAATTTATCCTCCCCTCTTAACTTGAAAAGCTGACACAATATATGAAACGATAGTTTTCAGACATTGGACAACAGACAGTGTAGGACAGTCATCACCAAAATAAGAGAATTAAATGAGTTTAACCCTCTTTTCTTTTCTTTTTTTTTTTTTTTTGAGACAGAGTCTCTCGCTGTCGCCCAGGCTGGAGTGCCATGGCACCAGCCTAGCTCACAGCAACCTCCAACTCCTGGGCTCAAGCGATCTTCCTGCCTCGGCCTCCCAAGTA